GTCTGCCCAGGGTGTACCCCGCCTTGTGCTTGTTGGCTCCAGCTCCCCTGCGACCTTGAATTTGATAGAGCTGTTGAAAAAAGGCTGGATGGATCTGACAGCCAGTCTGTTAGTAATCAGCTATGTGATTGAATTATTTTAAAAATGGGCAGGGCACATTACGACACATTGTTGCAAAATAACATAAGTGGCTTGCATCTTATATTATTGTTGTTTGGATTTATGTTGGTGTTGCTCACCATGCGGTCTGGCTATATTTTACTGAAGTAAAAGCAAGTTTTGTGTGGGAGCCTGATGATTAGCAGTAGTAATCAAAACAAAGTTTTCAAATCTTTATTTGTGAATTGAAAAGAAATTATTCATGTAAGCAAACCCAATAATTTATGTTTACTCTTCCTACTTAATGACAGGAGATCCCCATTGCTTGTCAATAATGCTGTTTGAGCTCAGGTGAGAATGCTGTGTAGAGAAATTTAAAAACATATTACACAAACATCTCAGACCAGTACTGGTTAAGGCTGCCTAATTATATCAGAGTGCCTTATCAATGTTATACTTTATCTGACTAGCTTAGACTAACTTTATCGGATAGCTTAGACTTTGTTTTGTTTGCTGGCAACACAGACCTTCTCATGTACAGTCGAAGTCTATCTTTATGACTAGAAGTCAGCTCAGGCTTAAAGCTTACGTGTAGTATTTCAATATTCATCCCTCTTTATGTGTGTTCAAGTTGAGAGTTTTTCTAGGAAGTTTTTTTTTAGGGTTAATTTGTATGCTTTTTATTTGGTTTCTGGTTCAAGTTATCACCGGAGGTTTTAAGGGAGTCTGCCACATAAAAAAAAACTGACCCTTACCTATTGGTTGCTGTCCCTTAGCTTTCTGTTGGCATGCTTTCTGATTGGACCTTTATGCTGCTTCTAAGTTGGTATCTTCAAACAGATATTGGCAGGATGCTGTCAATGTCAGCTTTTGAGTGGACTTTTCATGATTTGCCGAAAGTTGAAAGGTATGGCCCATTCTTTCAGTGTTTCAAAACCTTCTGACACTTTTGTGAAATATTCTCTTGCAGATCATGGTTCTATTTTGGTTTATGTCCTGTGAACTCTGTGTATGCTGGTGGAATAAGAGGGGCAGATTTTCCCTTTTTCCCCCCACACTGTCCTGTTTTCTCCCAGAGCAAGCACTGCACCTTAATACAGAGATGAAAAAATTTATTGTTAAAATCACCTGTTTTTGAAGCTTTTCTCTGACAGAAGTCCACATACTTCAAAGCAGTTTGTATTTTAGCCTATATAAATAGACAACAAAGGAACAAGTAATAGGTTTATTCCATGCTGAAAAAAAGAAGAAAGAGAACACAACGTTTCGGCCGTGGAGCCTTCTTCAGGTGTGAGAGAGACAGGGCAGTAGGCAAAGGTAAAGTAGCGGGAGAACAAAGGTTGGGAGGAGGAGGAGTGAAGGCTCCACGGCCGAAACGTTGTGTTCTCTTTCTTCTTTTTTTCAGCATGGAATAAACCTATTACTTGTTCCTTTGCAGCCTACGCATGCTGACGCAGCTACCCACCTGAACTATATAAATAGACAGTATGTTTAAACATGTTTTTAAATTCATTTTAATGAAACTCTTTGATGTCAGCCCACTCTTGAATATAGAATATAGTTGGAGCTTGGTTACATCTAAATGTTGAGTGTATAAGAAAAACAAAGAGGTATCATTGAATTTCGAAGTGAAGCTCAGGTACAACTGAGACCCTGCTTGGATCTGGTCTAAAATATTCTTCACCAGGTGGAAAAGAACGTGTTCCAGAGAAATATCTGGAATTGATTAACTGTTCAGACCTGGCAGAATGATTTAGTAGTGGCTGGACCGTGGAAAGATTAAAAAGGAGAGGAAGCTAATTGATTGGAGGGTCTTATTCAGCCCCAGCCGTTTCCTGAAAGCAGCCAGGATATCCTCGATACAATCTTGCAGGTCTTGCTGAGGTAGTTTATTCCAGACTCCCACAGCAAAGCAGACTGTCAGTGAATATAGGTCATGCTGCATATATTGTATGGAGAAAAAGCACAGCAGACTCAAATGCAGCTGTCCCAAACGTTTGAAATAAAAAGAAGATTCACCTGAAATATTTATGCACTGCTGTCCGTTGTGATTAATAGAATCTGAATACACTTCTGATTGAAATGATGCTTAACCTTCATAGACCTGTTGGTTTGGTATTGCTTTTTACAGGAACAACTGACATGCAGCGGAACTGGAATTCAGAGTTACTTGTTCAGTCTGTTTCACTGTATACGTTAGACTTCTTGTGTGGCCTTTAAAACTGCTTTACTGTCCTGTTATGAACTTCAATAGCTTATGAAGAAGGATCATGGCATGCAAAATGCATACTTCATAAAGACAGACTGTTGGTGTTAGAGTACAGCTCTAAATCTGTTAAAATCTACAAGTGGCAATTCAGGATCCACAATTGGAATAGGCTTAATTGAAGAATTCTTTTTTATAGTGACAACAGAATTCTTTTCCTTTTTATTTGCAGGTCATATGAGAGATCCCAGCAACCAGATCCACGTAATCAAAAATCTGAAGATTAGCATATCGAACATTGTGACACAGCCTCCTCAGCCGATGGCTATCCAGAACATGCTAAGTGAAGTTGTGTCAGTGAGTCAGCCTGCAGAAGGATTAGTAGCTAATGTGATTACAGCAGGAGATTATGATCTCAATATAAGTGGTAAGTTGCAGGACACTTAAAGCTCTGTGAAATTATTTTGAAATGTATACTTTTGTCACATTCACTCGATGGAACAATTTTAATGTTTTTTGCTAGACTAGTCACTTTAAATCTGACTACTACTAAATTTTACTAGTTTGAAAGTTACTACCAGCTTCTACTCCAGGGCAAAAATGCCTTGAAAATCAAATGGTTCACCTTCATAACAAATAACACGATCACTTGTGAATTTTTGGAATTCTTTTACTTCTGTTTTTTGTTTTCTAATGAGGGAACATATGGTGTAAGGGGGGCAAATATTGGACTTAACCGACTGCTTTAAATGCTCAGTTATTGCAGAAATACATTTGAGAGCATTTAAGAATATAGCACAAATAGTTTAATATTGTACATAAGACGAAAAGCTAACTGTGAGTAGTGCAAAAGTTCTGACCAGATTTCGTTTCACCCATAAAGTGACAGAGAGGAAGGCACCCAATTATATATATATTATATACAATTTTTTTTTTATTTGTGATTTTGATCTTTTTCAGATTTTTGGTTCTATGGGTTTTTGAATGTGGATGTGAGACTTTAACATTGATGTTAGTTGGCTATGGGGGTTTAGTGTTCAGCTATGTGTAGTTTTACAATTCCAGCAGATTACAGTAACAATCCTGTTTGAGATACATTCTCAGTATTTATAGTATTGGTCATTAGTTAATAACTCTTATGTTTACAAAAACTTAAGGTCCATATTTTTCATCTTAAAATACTGGAGACAACAGAAAAAAATGGTAAATAATATCATACTGTATTTTATTTCCATCAGATCGCTCTCTTAAAGCTAGTGTTCCTTGGTACAATAATTGGAAAGAAACACTGATGGAACTCTACACTTCCAAGTTCTATGCAGGTATTCTTACAAATTGGTGTGGGGCTAATATACTTTGTCTTGGTTTCATTTCCTGTACCCACTGCAAATGTGTCCTATAGCTTAACTTGCTGTGTAGTGAACTCTTGGTTTCTCCCTCCTAGATCCCCCTTTTGTACAGTTTCCTTCATGTTGGGGATGCTTTCTAGTCTATAGTGTGTAGAAAATGATGAATTGCAGAAAAGCTCAAATCATTATGAAGTGGTTACAATAAGTACTGTTACCCTGGCTTATTGAAATTATTGGTCTCGATTGTCTCCTGGAGCTGTCTGAAGTTTTAGGAGTGCTCTTAAATCGTGCAATTAAATAATAAAATAAAAACTAAATTGGTTCCATTTATAGTTGGCCTCTACAGTGTGATGACCTAAAACGAATACAGGATTTTTCACATTAATTCTGTTCTTGATCTTTAATAAAATATGAATGGGCATCTCTGCACAACCAGTGCATTAACTAGAGGCTTTTAGAAATTAACACAAGGTTATTGTTTAATACAGCAAAGGGATTCATTGAAAGTTTCATACCACATGTAATAGTTCACAAAAGAAACAATACTTAGGCGTAATGGATTTAATTGAAATTTTTAAATGAATTAAAAAAAAACAAAAGAGAAAAAGTGAGCAAAGGTACAGGACAAAGAAGCATAGGTTTCCTGTATTAGCTGAAAACAATGCATTGTCAGCAGAAAGATGTTACAAAGTTTTAGGGTATGACGTCCTGGAACATCGTCATAATCCTGGCAGTATAAGCCTCTGGATAGGCTGCTGTGGGCCACTTCTTGTAACCACTGTTTTTTTTTTGTATAAACCTTCTTGATTCTGAGCTTTGAATAAAATGCAATAAATCATTTCAGTGTTCCTTGTTCTTCCAGCTCTTTGTCTCTGTATTGTAGCAGAAGCTCTAATTTATCACGCATAGCTGAAGTTTATCCGTGTTCTGTGTTGGTAAAAAAAAATATCGCACTGTTTTTTCTTGGAAGTATCAGTCATTTGCAGATGATGAGAAATTCTTTGCAGAACAAATTCTCTGCTGCTGAGTGTTGTACACATGATATTGCTCAAGTTTTAACCATCAACAGGTACATCTCAAGCTGCTGCTTTTTCCTCCAGTATACCAGTGTACCAGTGGAGAGGTAATAGTCTTCTGTCTAATTGAACTCTGAAGCAAAAGTAACTTTTTATGGAGGTTGAACTCCGTAAACGTTGGAGGGGAATCCCAGCAATAGGGCTATGGTGTTATATAGTCATGGCTTTAAATGCAGTTTTTGTACCTTGTGTGTCATTCACTGATTCATGAAGTGAGATATATAGGCTTTTTCTTTCCAGCAGAATATGGTAGTTAAGGTTACAGGTGGATTAGACATGGGATGTCGATGCTTTGAATTAAAATTGCCTCTCCCACGCAGTACTTTATTTTGAAATAATGTTACTTAGTAGTTGTAAGTTTATTAGTATAACAAGTCACGTCTCTTATACAAAGTTGGTTACTGTAGGTCTTTAAAATAAGCTAAATGTAAAAGGATTTGCTATTCTTAAGTGCCTCAGAGGGTAAATAGTTCTGCTTGGAGTGTCTTCTAGCCCGGCAGTGGCTGGAGGGAACTACCTGTGGGGTGGAGTAGCTTGTAGGGTAGTAGTCTGGGGTGCACTGGTCTTTCATACACCAGTTTGTCACCCTCTCTGCAGCGTGAGAAAATGAGAAAAGGTAGACAAAACTCATTTCACCAGACACACGTTACTGTGTGTTACCTTCATCTTTCCTGGTGTGGCGATTCAGAGTGAAGGAAGAAATCCCACGCAAAGGAGGAGTCTGAAAACATAAACCAACAGCTGATTCAACATAAACAACTGATTCACAGACAAGCTTTCTCAACAGTTCTTGAAGTTCAGGCTATGAGCTGTAAGAACAATACAATAACAACCTTGAAGAAGAATGTTCAAGTACGATACTGTTTCTTCAGTTTGTGAAATGTTTGCACTGGAATATTGTACTGCTTACTATTTAAATCCTTTTAGAAACTGGTGAGCACGAATGTCCCTTTCCATTGTGTGTTTTTTTTGGTTTTTAGTTCAGATAAAGGGAAATATACTCCTTTTGTTTTTGAAAAATGTTGCATTCTCAAAGTGCAGACAGGTACGTCTTTGTAGTGAATGTTTGTTTTGAGTTTTAGCTCTTCTCTTTTGCCTTTGGTATCACTATGTAAGGTATGTAGGTAGTAATACATAGTACATAGAAATGCATAGAATTTACTCCACTGCAGATCTTCAATGTTATCTCTGAATTCTGAGTATATATACAGTTCTTGTGGACTTTTCTGATAGTTTGGTCTCCAGTGCTGTCTAGTTTGTCTTCCTGCTCTTCAGTTTTATTTTTGTGCACAGAACTTTTAATTCAGCAGTTAAGCTGATTTTGTACCTACTTGTGTCTTTTCAGCAACTACCCCTTGGTTTGAGACGTACAGAGAGAACTTCTTTCAGTCCATGCCGGCCTCAGATCATGAGTTTCTTAATCATTATCTGGCATGTATCCTTTCCCATGCTTATTAAGTTACATTTATAATGACTTTCATGTCCTTGCTTAGAGAATTACTTATTTTATTTTGGTGTCCTTTTAACAGATATGCTTTATAAAGGGCTGAAAAGCCTTAGAGCATGCTTAATTCTTACTTTTAAGAAGAATACCAAGCATATTTTAGATGAGACTTATTCAGTGTTGCAAGGCATTCATATTTATTGATAGTGATGCCCAAACCACAAGCAAGTTTTTTTTAACCTTTTACACTCAACTTGAATCCTGCAAGAATGTTTATGGAGGTTGAACTCCTTGTGTTGAGCATGTGGTGAGGCAGTGTGAGTCTTTTATAACTAATTTAAAGGTTTATTAAGAACTTAAAATTTTATTTCACTTTTCTGTTTGAGACAGATTTTTTGCTTTCTGCTCTAGTGGGTTTAGCTGAGGATTGTAATTGGTATCAACCTTGTATCAGTTTCAGAGCATTAGAACTGCGAAATGTCATCAACTGGATGGCTCCAAAAGGAAAAAACAAAACTCCTCATTGTTGCAACGTTGATTACACATTGCCTTTTCCGGCTGCTACCGTTCATCAGTAGCGGATCTGCTTTGAAACAGTTTAGAACAAAATAAATGTCAGCAAGTTGCTTAAGGTTCTGGGTATTATTCTTGTAAAGAGTAACCTTGAAGTGGTGTATTTGGGGAACTCGCAGTGGAGCACAGAAACAAATGAACTGTCTATGCGAACAGATCAATTAATGTAATCACTTTTTCCATTATTAATATAATATGTATTATGATTGGAGAATGATAGTTCATTGGAGATGAAGACGGTTTAAATTTGGTTGATGAATCTTGTACACTGAAGAATAAAGTCTGTTCGATAATTTCCTTAATGTGTGACTCTTGAAAGGTATGCTTGTAGTTTCTTCTCACGAGCCAGAGCCGGTGGAGCAGTTCCTGAAGCTGTCTCAGGAGCAACACCGCATTCAACACAGCAGCGAGTTCTCCTATCCCAAGTGGTTCATTCCCAACACGCTCAAGTATTTCGTGTTACTCCATGACATCAGTGAAGGAGATGAGCAAAGGTAATGTGCTTTTAAGGTCTGTCATACAATCTTCTGGAATCAGAACACAATGATTTGATGTGCTCCATACACCAGTGAGGGGGTCTGGTTTGGAACATTAATTTCTCTACAGTTTAAGCAACTATAGTTCTAGTATTCCGAGTATTTACTGGAAACAGGCCTTGGACATCCATGATTTCTCATTTAAAATAGTTTTAGATTTTTTTAGCACTATTGATATACTATGATACGTTTGTTTTACCTCTCAAGGTTATTTAGCAACACATTTTTTTTCTCTTTTGGTGCATTTCCACAGTTCTTGCGTTGATATGCCAGATTAATTAGAGGTGACTCTTTTTCCAACATAAGCTCCAAGACCTGTGGTTAGGCATGCTGCAATTGGCATTTAACCATATGCCAGCCATTCTTTAATAATATATATCTATTATACATTGAGATGCACTGAGAGCTTTGATAATTTATTATCCTCTAAACTAAACTTTTTTTTGGCATTTTCTTCTCTAGGGCTGATTCTGTTTATGAGGAAATGAAACAAAGGTATGGAACTCAGGGTTGCTACTTGCTCAAAATTAACTCACGGGCTACGGCAGTTGGCTCAGACGAACAGATTCCTGACCCTTGGAGCCAGTATTTACAGAAAAGCAACTTCCAGAATCAGGTATTGTTTAATTTGGATAAAAGTTCTTCTGATCACTGCAATGTGATGAATGGGCTTCTTTAGAAATAACCCAAAAATATATGTGAGGTGCTTTCATTGGCACACTGCTGAGACTTTTAACAGTTAGACTAGAGTTAGATTTGAAAGCTAAAGGGTAAAGCATATTGCACACTATGAAAATAATGCAACTATTGGAAAAAGTAGTATGTTGAAAAGTACTGCAGTGGTTTGCTTTAGTGAGAAAAGGCTGTGTAGAAAAAAACTAAAAAGGTGAGGTGATCTAATCTGATCATGTTAGACTCACAGTTTCCATTCTGAAAATGATAAAAAAGGAACTATCTGAAGCTTAATACAGGGTATACTGTATTCCCTTTGATTGAGTAGTTTGCAACATCATCTTATAACTGGCTTTGTAACTGATACCTTCCATTCTTCAGATTATGGAATATAGAGAGAAGCTTAGTCTATTTTTGAGCGTAGTGCACAGCACTGGCATTTTGCTCTTTAGTAAGAGACACCTATACATGCGTGGGATTGGACAGTGTAGGCTGCAGTTGTAAAACAGTACCTGTTGACAGTGCTGCAGTACTGTACCTTAGTACCTGAGTGCAAAGTCTTAGTTTACGATTACAAACGTCCATGTGGTGCCGTGTGTTCAGAACTAGACCCACGAGAAGAACACTAGCATGCCAGCCACAGCATTGAGGGACGACAGAGCTGTAATGGAGTGACAGCTGCAAAGTGCCACGGTATTCTAAATTACCATATAGAACAGACAGGAGCAAACTATATCCAGTATCTCTGAAGCTTGCAAAATATTATTTACTGCTGTTACTTGTTACTTGTTACTTGTTACTTGTTACTTGTTACTTGTTACTTGTTACTTGTTACTTGTTACAGTCTGTTCTTTACGATTTAGAGATGATTTTATCTTTAGAAATATCTTTTTTTTTTCCCCCACAAGATGGCAGTCCATGACAGTCAGTTAATGGCAATAGCTGGTTTCCATGTGATATTCCTCCTTTCTTTGTGGTACAGCATGAAATTCCCAAGGCGTTTTCTGCTTTCTGATAGTACTTGTGAGAAAAACTAATTAGTTTTAACATTCGCCCTGTTTCATCCTCGATCTTCCTTGTCAATGGATTGTTACTCTAATTTTCTTCCAAAACAAAAGCCACCAAAGCTTGCTCTTAATTTCTGTCAGATTTATTTACTATTTTTTAAAACTTCATATACATTACTTTTATTATCCCCAGTTTGTTGATTTTATTAAATAAAACATTTGGTCTGTTTTGTAGTAAAATGTATGCAGTTTCTACCTAGGAGACTGCAGAACTCGGGATCTCCAGTCCTCTTTGAAACATTGAACGTTGTAAAACTTTTTTCAGGAGTTACATGAAGAACATTCGTCAGTAGTCATAAACTATAAGAATGTGGAAAACAACATAAGTGCACCAGAAGTTGATGGTCCTGATCATCCAGGCAAAGGTAAATCAAGCATTGTTTTCTTCTAGACCAGTTTTCGTCTAAGGCACGTTAACGTTTCACGTTAGGCACATCCTCTTTATATTCACAAATACATTTAAGTTGTCTTGATTACAATATTCATGTTCTTCACTTAAACCTGTCTACAGAGAGAGCACAGACCAAACCAACACGCAAACCGGAGAACAGAAGCATGAGTTCATAGATGCTTTCACGTCATTTAATGGCTGATATATCAGAGCAGTTCTGTAGGAACTCTTTATGTAGTAAAACAATTTCTGTTCTAACAGATTAGTTAAGTTGTTCAGATGAATGAAAAGGGAGAGCGAGAGTTCAGGAGTGCTTATTGATCTAAATTGTTCAGTTTGTTAACAGTATTATTAAATATGTAATGTAGTGCTCTTTTTTTTTCTTCAGTAGATGGGATCCCCAACAATTTTAAAGCCCACCCTCTGCAGTTAGACCACCCCAGTGATCCCGGTGGCCAGTTTGATGGCCTTGATGTCTTAAAGTCCACCACACCAGTCTCTGATGCTAAGAAACAAACCAGTGTTACAACTCACGGTGCTTGTCTGACACTTACCGACCACGACCGAATCAGGCAGTTCATCCAGGAGTTCACCTTCAGGGGGCTTCTGCCGCACATAGAAAAAACCATTCGGCAGCTCAATGACCAGGTAAGTGTGGCTCCTCGTCAGCTCAGCAGATGATCACAAAAGGAGAATTAGAATTGAAGATTTTGGAAAGGAAGTTCAGAATGGCTTAGATAACTTACGGATCAGACAAACACCTGGCAGGTGACATTTGTTCAGACATGTGTAAAGTGTTGCAAGAAAGTAGAAAAAGCATGAACTATAAATATAAAATGGGAAACTTGGGTAAATAAAAGTGAGTTTGAAGAGGCTGCTTATGTAAAAGAATTAGCTGTTTTTCAACACCGCTTTTACGTTTTTTGACAATGTAGGGGAAGCAATAAAATGATAAACCGATTATAAGGATAGAATTTAAATCAAGTGATGTTTTATTAGCCAGCTACATTCCCAGGCTCAAAATGATCTCCTATAGGCACCCACATTACAAGCTAACAGAACTGAACCTTTTTAGTCTGGAACAGGGAAGAGGGTCCCTGCTGAAGTGAGGGCCCAGAGCGAAGCTGAGTGCACATAACCGACTAGCAAATCGGTCTTAGCAAGCAAGTCTTTAGGAGGTGGGATGTCACTCATGCACTTGTAGTGTGTCGTATCTTCTTACTTTAGTTTGCTGATAGCATGCCTCTAGTGCAGCATCTGCCCAAAGATGGGACTGTATCTTATTACATTTTCTATACTGACAGTAGGATATAGCTTTGCGAAAGGGAAGATTACTAGCCCCAAAGGAGGCCCTGTGTCTTAAATGAGCATATAATTTTCTGGATGAACTGCTAACTCTTACATTGTATTTGTTTTCCGTCAGCTGTTGTCCCGGAAGGGCCTGAGCCGATCTTTATTTTCTGCAACAAAGAAGTGGTTTAGTGGGAGCAAAGTACCAGAAAAAAGCATAAATGAGCTGAAAAACACAGCAGGCCTGTTGTAAGTAACATTTGGAGCGCTCCTTTTAATTTAAATATTTTGCTTTGCAGTTTTTGCTGATATCTTCCTTCTTTCAGGTTTAAGTGATCGATCTGAGCTTTCAAGTTTTGATTGAAAGTATGGATTTAAAAAAAAGTGGGTACATTTGCAATTCACCGAAATGGGACATCATTTGAACGGGGTGAATACTTTTGTAAAAGACTGTATGCCAATCAATATAGAGAGGAAACATTTTTTTTAAAACACTCCATCTTAAGGGCATTGTAACAAAAAGAAAACATACCACATGCATTTAAAATATAATAGTTTTCCAAGCATTTTGCAGTGGGATTCTTATCTGGATATTTTGTTTTTGATGGCAGCTGCTCTTTTCTATAAAAATGTATTTCCCTTATTTATCTTTATATTTGTTTCTTCAGATGGTTTTTTTCATAACACATCTCATAATGACAAAATGCTATGCATTATTAGTTTTGTGTAAATATGCTAAACATCTTGTAAATTAATGACTACCGTATCACTCTCGGAAAGCTTTGTGGAAAAATGTCTATTTGTCATTCCTTATACCTATGTGCCCTAAACATCTTACTGGAAAAAAAGCCTTATCACTGGATCTCTCTTATTTAATAACAAAGAAAATAACACCTCAGATGAATTACCAAAATAAAAAAATAAAGATTAACACCAGTCCCTGTGTGCCTTATACAGTGTAAACAACATTCTGTGTACTTAGTGTATTATGTATTACTCTATAGAAGAACCGTGTTTGAACAGAGTATGTTAGTATCAAATTATTTCGTTAGATATTGCATAAACAAAATAAGACATGTTGAACAAATTGAAACAGTTTTAAAAAGCTATTATAACCAATCTGCAAAATGATGCCTTAATAGTGTTCATTATCAAAATCTTCATAAGTAAGCATACTAATACTAAATACTGCTCAGTGTTTTATTTTTCAAATTTTTATCATTTACAAGCTCTTTCTTCCTTGTCAGTAGTAGAAAAAGCAAAGTATAACAGATCATTCATCAAATTATTTGCTGTCTTTGGAATTCAGAATACATGTTATATAAAGGAGCAGAATTAATTTGGTACAACTAAGATTAAATGATGCTTGTAATATTGTTTCTTTCTTGTTGCTTATTGCTGTATTTTGCAGCTAAAGTATGTATTTCCACCTTAAATTTAGGATAATAAGAATGCACAGAAAGAATCTGAAGTAATCTCATTGCTTCCTGACACAATGATATTGGGTCACTATACTGAAAAATGTGGGGTCACAGTAAATCCTGACAGTGAACTGTATATTTAGTTTACCTAATTGTTCACAAAACACAATCATTTAAGTACAATCATGTGTACGTGGTTTCCACCTTTAAGGGATTAAGCATAGATTACAAGACAGGACCTTTTAATCTTTGTATTGTAAACCGCCTTTTATTTAAACTGCAACCTCTGCCCTCTTTAAAATAGTTCTCTTCACGAGTTTCAGAGGAACAGAATTATTTTATTACATTAAGCAATCATGGAAGTATACCAAAAATCCTAATTCATTTTAAATATCTTGTGCTACACATTAGTCTGATCTAATTTACTGTCTACAATGTGCTGAAAATATAGTGAGTACATTTTGTAATCCTGGTATTTATTGTAGCTTTAAACAAGCACAAAGGCCAGTGGTATAAAATATTTAAAAACAGACACTTTTAAATAGAATCTCAATCATGAAACTAAAAATTGTTGGACATTGTTATATATTATTTTGAAATGAACATCGTCACATCACTTTCAATCAGCACTTATCCAGTTCAGGGTCATGGGAGCCCAGAGCCTATCCTGGGAATCATGGGGTTCAAGGCAGGTCACACCCTGGACAAGACACCAGTCCATCACAGGACACACCCAGCCACAAACAAAGACACACACACACACACCCACACGCGCGCGCGCGCACCAGAGATTCTCCCAGAAGCAAATTAACCTACCAGAATGTCTTTGGAATGTGGGAGGAAACTCCCAGAGGGGATCCATGTGAACATGGGGAGAACATATAGACTCCCCAGAGATAGCACCCCAGGTCCAGACCTGAACGCACCTTGAGGCTGCAGTGCTAACAGCTGTGCCGCCGTGCAGCGCACCATGTTTATTAGGTAATGCAAATTATCTTTGTAATTAAACCGAAGGAGTCTGACATTGTGTCCCGTTATAATAATAATTGGTTACACTTATATAGCACTTTTCTGGACACTCCACTCAAAGCACTTTACAGGTGATGGGGATCTCCTCCACCACCACTAATATGTAGCCCCACCTGGAAGATGCAACGGCAACCATTGTGCGCCAAAACGCTCACCACACACCAGCTCTCAGTGGGGAGGAGAGCAGAGTAATGACGCCAGTTCATAGATTAGTGTATCAATCCATGTCTTTGAAGGTACACCCATTCCACAACTTAGGTTTAGGTTCTGTTCTGAAAGTTTTTACTTAACCTTTCTTAGCCAATGCCTGAATACATCTAGATAATTTCTATTCATGATATTTCTAAATAAGAACATTTTGCTTAATTAAAAAAGTTTTTTAAAACCTATGATTAGCATACTTAAACACAAAATCAACAAAACACAGTAAATAATAAAATAAACATTGGATGATATATAAATACTGTACATTTCATTTCCCTACTCTGTAGTGTTCAGTGATTAAATGCAAAATTGAATCTATGACTGGTATATGGGTCATTCATGATGTTGCCAAAGTGAGACTGAATGGAAATCCACCCCCACTTTGCTCTTACTCCGCCCTGCTGGCTCTTCATCCAGCATGAACTTTCAGTGGCTCAGATTTTGTTATGGAATCTGTGGGGTGTTTTTTAATTAGGTTGAGTGATGTTTAACCCGGGGAGTGGTTGTATTCATTTGTTGAAAGTGTTTAGTCATTACAGTTTAGCAGAGATGCCCTGTTTTTTGCATTTGCAGACCTTAAACTACAAACCGTGCCATGCAGATCTATCTCTCGTTGTAGGTACCCTCCAGAAGCTCCTGAACTGCAAATAAGGAAGATGGCGGACCTGTGCTTCTTAGTCCAGCATTATGATTTAGCATACAGCTGCTACCACACTGCCAAGAAAGACTTCCTGAATGATCAAGCCATGCTTTATGCTGCTGGAGCCCTGGTTAGTATGGTTGCTTCCAGACAGCACACATAGATAACAGTTCATTCATTTTTTCCAGTACATTTATAAGTTGTACATTTCAATATTGTTTGGAGCTCAGTAACTTTGCCAGGTCTGCTTAAAGGTTTTTGACTGCATGGATTTGCATCCCTGTGATACTTTTGAAGTACACTTTTTTGAATTAACATGTGTTATCTTTTATTAATTAACAGTGATCTTGTAAAACACAAATGTCATGAAACTCTGCTGTATTTGATTTACAGTAGATATGACTGCGTGTTTAAAGAAGCGACATGGAATATTGACTTTCTAATGTGGAAGAAATACAATGACCGGAAGTTACCTGTCCCTTAATTGTAACATGGAGTGTAGTTGGGACAAGTAGACAGAAACATTCTGAAAAAGGCATGCTTGTTCCCTGAGCTTTCTCTTAAATTACAAAAGGTCTGTAAGCTAACAACATTTGGATTTGTCAGATACAGAAGGAATTAAATAGAATATATTTGTATTAGGTACCCATATTAACAATGTAGTTTGACTGTCTGATTCACCATATTTATTAAACTCTTGGTACATTCTTTCCAAAGAGATGAGTTACTTGACTTAAATCATGATCTGCTCTTGAACATTTAAATGCCTAACTTTTCTTACAGGAAATGGCAGCCATTTCTGCTTTTCTACAGCCTGGGGCTCCTAGACCCTACCCAGCTCACTATATGGATACAGCTATTCAGACATACAGGGATGTGTGCAAGTATGTTGTATAAGCAATATTATGCATATAATATATATATGTAATAATATAAAACAGCCGCAGAATGATTGTCAAATTACATCTATGCATAGCTAGGTGGGATACAGCTGTCAGGCACTTAAGCCAGACTATTCAAGAAGAAGGTAGAAACGGGAACTTAATGGATAGCAAAAACAGCAGCTTGTTAGGTATGTTGACATGCAAAGAATCTAGTGTGCTCAAGCAACGCAACACCCCTTGTATACAGCTAACAAGGTGTGTTTGTCTGCAGTATGTTCATGATAGTGCAGATATCCCATTCACCGAGGAGCTGTTCCCTCGGCCATAAAACAACCTGGCTATGACACCACCATAGCAGGTTTAGGTTTCTCTAGTTGTCTCGCTACAAGTTTGTTGTTGGGACATTTGGCAACATTAACATTTTTTTGCATGTCTCTCTTCTGCTATGCACTTGTGTTTTTCTGAACAGTTTAATTTCCTCTCTTTCGCGCAGAAATATGGTGCTAGCGGAGAGGTGTGCTTTGCTCAGTGCAGAAGTTCTGAAAAGCCAGGCCAAGTACTCAGAAGCTGCAACACTCTTAATCAGAATGACCAGTGAGGTGAGAGGTGTTAGTCGTGCACGTCTCCATTTTGGAATTTAGAATGAACATTGAATGCTTAGATTGTATGTAGGATCCTGTCTTTATGGCTTTTGCTTCAAACTATTAAACTAATGAGTTTTTCCAAAGTAAACATTTTGGTTTTTACAATATAAAATATTTTTTGTATTAAGCACTGTATCATTATATGCTTGTTTTGTGCTCCTGTGTGATTGTGGTGCAGCTTGTGGTCTATCAGGGTTAATTACCATCTCTTTGAGGCGTCTTCCAGCCCCCAAACTACACAACACACACTGTGAGTGCTGAAGAGGAGACGTCACTGGAGCAGTCTTGAGTTCAGAGTGGTATCGGTAGCTCAGTTTTTTAAATAAAAAACAAAACAAAACTTTTTGAAACGTGGGGTGAAAGTCAGTGCCCTTCCACACTTAGACACAAGTACATTGTTTGTGCTTTATTTCTATCATATGGTGCAAAAGAGAATTTCATGATAACATTCAGACTCGCTAATGGGAGGCATACTTAACCATAGAGTGGAAACGTAATTTCTGTCTGGAGACTTTTACTTCTTTCCGGCAGTTTTACTCATCCCCTTCTGTGTTGTGTTCTAGGACTCGGACCTGCGGAGTGCCCTCTTGCTGGAGCAGGCAGCACATTGCTTCATTAACATGAGGAGCCCGATGGTGCGGAAGTTTGCCTTTCACATGATCCTGGCAGGGCACAGGTTTAGTAAAGCTGGCCAGGTAGGTTTTTTTTTTTTCTTGTACTTCAGATACAATTCTGACACCTGTCTTCACATTCAATCAAATCCAACTTTGTAGTTTAGTATAATTTTCTGCACAATTAATGTAATGAGATATTTGTCTTAAAAATGTAAGGGCAGGGTATTGTATATTGATCAGTTTTCTGTACTCCAGAAACAATAGGATGGGCTGCAAACAAAGAAGGCATTGGTACCTTCTGTATCTTGCTAGGCTTAAATACCCTGTGGTTTTGTTTTTACAGCTCAAATCCCACCATGATTTTCAGTCCAGTAGTCATTGAATAACACTCATATTTTAAGCAAGTTTTTGATTCTTATTTTGAGCATCAGCATTCCTTTATGTTAAAAGTGGACTGATGCTGTATAGGACAGCTTATTTCTTTTGTGGTACTGCCGTTTGCCCAACTATGTAGGCTCAATGTGGATAAGATGAAATTCTGTTAATTTTCTTCTCTTACAATATACAGACACAGTCCTTCTGAATGACTGGAAACAGTCACGTTTGATCAGACATACTGTAGGTGTCACTAATTTATAGAAAAAGACTAAATTCATGTGCTTTGCAAAAATTGATTGCAAATTAAATCAATTTCATACCATCAAAGGAGTGTTCTATTAGGTGGCATGAAAGTTTAATTTTAAACCACACTGAGGTGGAATATATAATTAACCTGGCATTTTACTTACAGATTGAAACTGTCATGTTAACCAATTTGCAGCTCATGTTATTGTGAAAATCTTTTATGTTACGAATGTTTAATTTAATGTCTTAAACTTTTGAAATAGTGATTTTGTTTAAGTAAACGCAAAACTATGGTCAGTACACAGGCATTGCACATTTTATTCTTCTTTGCATTTTTTTTGTAAGGAGGCACATGATCATTTGTCTTTATGATTGCTAGCACTTATGCAAATAGCAGTTTTCGGTAATGTAATTTTTCTTTCTTAGTATTGTATACTTGCTGTTCCCTGTTGTGACCTATTCTTGTGTATTCCTCAGTGGTAGTAATCGGTATGAAAGTAAAAGTGAAGTAAAAATTATAGGACATTATATACATTATAGGACACTTAAAGTGATAGTGTTTTAAAGCAAATGCCATTATTGATATCTTACAAAAATTGAAATGGAATTGGACTGCAACATAAAACAAATATAAATTTGAAATAGCAACCACAATTAGAGCATCACTGTAAAATTAGTTTCCACATTCCATTGAAGGGAAACACTTTCACTTTGATCTCTATTTTTCCCCTAGAAATAAAAAATAAATGAGGACACGAGGTCACAAATGGAAAATAAAATGGAATTTGTTTAGGAACAGGAAACTCTTTACAAAGAGTTGTGGTTTTTGGGAAGCCTATTTCAGACCAGTGAAAGCTGCTTCTGAATTGACTGGGCAAAGTTTAGATTCACCTTGCTAGCAAATTCTCTTTTATGCTGAAGGTACAGTATATCACTGATGTAGGGGAAAGTTGTAGTAAACTACTTTCGAGACCTAGATGAGGAGAATCCTGCCAGGGAAGATATTTGAGATGAAGGACTGAGGCGATAGGAAGTATGTCTAGGTGGGGGTATCTGGAGAGAGAAATCAGAAAATCAGTAAGTTATGAAAGGGAATTGAAAGAGATCTGAGAGGCGTGTGTAGTTAGTTTTTTGTACCCTGAAGCTGTGTGCTACACATTTTTAATGAGAAGAAAATAGTGAGCAGTAGGTGGAAACCCTTAAAGGCTCTTGGTTTTGTTTCACATTGTGACAGAAAATAAACTCCTGTTGTTTGCGTGAAAAATATTGTTTCCCCTTTTCTTCTCCATGCATACATTGTCTTGTGGTATGTTAGCTTAAAGCTTCAATAAAATGGAGAACAAACTGGGCTCCAGAACAAAAGGTTTTTAAAGCAGCCTTAGAAAGTCAATCACCAGGTGACACTCTTCCCTCTGGACACAAACTTTATCATTATTTCTAGAAGGGCCTGTCCTTGAAAAGAGACATTAAAATGAGGTCCTTATCTCTGGATCATTAAAGATCTCATGGCACTCAGTAGAGTTAATTCCAATATCCTGGCTCAGTTACACACTGGGCTTGCAGTGTCTGGCCAACCTAAAGGTCTTCTCAACTGGTAAATTATTTTTTTTCTTCCCAGCACATGTATAGTACTCTGATATCCTTTAGTTTGAAAAGTGTCATTTGAATTCAGTTTGTTAATATTAATTAATCTGTCTTCATCTTTATGAACACAGTTCACCTTCAGTACTATTAATGTCAGTTTGCCAGAGCTTTAAATTTTTAGTGCAATCTAATAGACTTTCTTTGTGTGTATATATATATTTATTTTAGCTTCTCACTAAGCCTTCCAGTAATTTCAACTTCACTGGAAAAAAAATACTGTAATCAACTTTCAAACTGTCACACAGATAGGCATTTAAAGCATATCCATCCTGAAGTCATAACTCTTTCTGAATTAAAATGCATCTGATTGTTTAGTTTAAAAGTGTATCCCATAAGTAAGAGATTTTTTTATTATTAGTTTCATAATTCCTATGGGGAACGTTGTGGCATTTTCAGTAAGTGTTAATTTTTCTATTACTTTTGAATACCTCCAAATTTAAAAGGCTTGTAAGTACTATCGAGAAACATGCTAACAATTTAAGTTTTACTGATTATGTAAATTTTAGCCTTTTGATGTTGGAACAGATGAATGTGGAAATGGTTTATGGAAAGTATTCTTAATAAATTATGGCTTTCATTCTCCTGTTTTTGCAGAAGAGGCATGCCCTAAGGTGTTACTGTCAAGCAATGCAGGTGTACAAGGGAAAAGGCTGGTCCCTTGCTGAAGACCATATTAATTTCACCATTGGACGACAGTCCTACACATTGAGGCAATTGGAAAATGCTGTTTCAGCCTTCAGGCATATATTGATCAATGAGAGCAAGCAAACCGCATCTCAGCAGGGAGCATTCCTGAGGGAATATCTTTATGTTTACAAGGTGGGTAAACTGAAGGCGACTGCCTGGGAATATGGCTTAAAATTGATAAGGCCTCTCTTGATTGTGTTCATTTTGCATTAATGTGGTTATGCTCTTATTTTTGCAGGTTAAGGAACTGTTGATATCTTTTTGCTATAAAACAAATGCATATAATATGTCACTAGCTGTTTTGCAAAATGCAAAACTGAAATTTGAACATTTACATTTTTGTAATGTTCTGTATGAATTGTTTATATTTTGATACAAACATTTGTATCTGATTGTTTGAGGCAAAGTGATTCCTAAATCAAACACCCATCATCAACTGTAATATGAAAAAAACATTATTTTTGTAATGGGAACATTCAGATCTCCAAACTGTCATTTTACATCCTTGTTTGCACACTTGAAAGGTCCAGTCAATTTACTGCAACCTTGTTACGACGTTAAATAGACTCTACCTTTTACAAAGTAATATGCCACGTTTGCTTCTCTAGAGAAAATATTTTTTTTCTTCTATGTAATGTATTGATTTAGATAATTGGCATCCTAGAAGCCAATTATCTAAGATGATAAGAGTATCGAAGCAAAGCAACATGAAGCAAATCACAACTGTCTATTATTGTCACAAGCGGATAGTTAATGGAGGTGTACTTAGGCAGTGTTAGTTTTTTATATTACAGTGAAGGTATAAAAATGTCAAAATTGCAGGTTTTCGATTTTTGGTATTGTGTAAGACCTTTTGTGTATTTAAATAGTCATTAAAGAGTGTTTCCTGCCAGACAGATTTTTAATTAAGCTTTTCTGGGACTCTAGTTTTGTGTAATATATATATATATTTCAGTTAAGAAAAATTAAAGGAAAAGAAGAAGTAAAGAAACAGCAGTCTGTCATTCTCTGTAGTTTACTGTTTATTAGTGTCTTAGGTTTGCCATTAAGAACAATTCTGAAAAGATACAAAGTTTAGCAGAGTGTAAAAGTGTACAGGAGAGCCTACACTTTTAAACGATGAGTGAAAGGGGAAATGAAGTGGAAGACAGAATTTTTATATTTCATCTTATGGTTTTGTAATTATATTGAAAAGATGCAGATCAGATTTTCTTTGAATTAAAAAGAAAATCAAATTCACAATAAACCACACATTTTATTGGCTGTATAGTGAATCTTTCCTTCTTATAACGTTATGTGCAAGAACGGTCAAATTGTATTTTTTTTTTCATTTTGAGAACAAAAACGTATCCTAAATTCCGTAAGTTAACTAAAGCAGCTGCGCAGCAGTAAACCCGTGCGTGTCTAGGCTGTCGCTGGTTGCACTGACTGCTTCATGTTTCTGGGGTGCAGAGTGTGAGCCAGCTGTCCCCAGAGGGCGCACTGCCACAGCTGCCGTTGCCTTGCATTCAGAGCTCAGCCACGAGGGTCTTCTTCGGGCACGACCGGAGACTGGCAGAGGGTGAGTCGCTCTCATTCAACACGCCTGAGAAACAACTGGAACTGGAGGTTGAGACATCTTTGGATGCTTTATATTTAAATCTCTTCCACATTAAGTTATTTGTTCTGGGTAAAATATTTGAGTCACACTTTAGATGGTTGCGTACTTGAAAGTTGAATACATATTATTTGTCTCTTTGCTTTAAATTTAATAAAGCGTCCATTCATCCATTCAGTATTATATACCAATATACTCTATATATAGCCTATTCCATAGTGATGGGTTTAAGTTTAGAGTCTTTGTGAGCACTTCTGTGTTCAGCACCACTCAGAAAACTGCTCTGTCTTGTCCGGCAGCTTTTTTTTATGTGAAATATATATTTTTCCATCTGCACAACTTTAGTTCTAGTCAGGTGAAACTAAGTAGGCTATGTAAACTATTGCCTCTGGTATACCATCGATTATTTTCCTATCAATAATGTTAAATAACTATGCACGGTAACAGTCAACCTTGATAACTGCTGTCAAAATTTAAGTTACCACAAAAATAGATATAAGAGGTACATTAGAGCCATTTAACCCATCCAGTTCATTTGGGTTTTAGTAATTTGGTTTAGTGTTTAATCAGTTTTTATGCAGTTTAATTCTACAGTCTTCTTCACAGTGGGAAAAGTGTAGTTGTATAGTTTTAACCAAGACCCTAATCACCTACGTGTAGAACTATATATTTGAGTGCATTGGTTTAAACAATTTTTTTCAGATTTTCTACATTTCCACTGGTGTTCTTTTTAATAAGGATAGGTTAAATAGCATGTGTGGATTTGTTTCCTATGAATAGCACTATCTCAGTTTTTCTCTTCCTTTGTCAAAGAAAAATTAAACTGTCCTCTCTGAGGACCTGGCTAGTTAGTCCTGCTAATTAGAACTAGCAGAGTTTGTGCTCATGAAAATTGACTGCAGGTCCGAGCAAGTCACACTCTTTAGACAGGAAGAAGACCGGTTCGTTCCCAATGTAGTGCTAGTCCTGAATACTGAGATTCAGCTGTCCGCAGTTCCGACCATAGTTCACTCGTTGATCAGGCGAGCGTTCGCGGTGGGGCACCGGTGGTTCACGAGACTTGCTGCAGGGCTAACTTTGGGTGGATCCTTTGGTTACAAAATAAAGTCCTGGCACTCAGCCACATTGGCCATCACATGATTGTCCGAGCTAAGTCTGAGTATGTCCTAGAGGGGCATCTTCTGGGCCCTGTGCTGCCTCTTTTATCTGGAGGAACTACGGTCGTTCATTGGTGGAATGTTTTGCAGGCATTTGAGACCCAAGTGGGGTTACCCTGCCCTACCAGTTCTGATTGGCTGATCAAGGTGGAGGATGAGTAACAGCGCTCTCTGACCTTAGGGTTGTAAACATCTTAGGATGAGACTCTCCCTTGGAATCTCCCAGACAGAAAGGCGCCAGAGATGACCATTCATTTGGGTAGCTGGAGAATCTCAGCCCTGGGAGTTGTTCCTTATCAGAAAACTCTTATCAGACAGAAAAACACCTTCAATCTGAACCACATGGAATGGCCTCTCTGTGTCCACCACCACTGAGATGAGGGAGAGAGACTGGCAGGGGGACAGCAAACTTAATTCCTGTATTATTAATAAGAATTGCCGCTACAAGTGCGTCAAAGAAGTAGTGAGGAATGAATCTGCCTTTTTCATTGGCCACAAGCTTATCTCTTTCCATCATCGATTAATACCTGCGGTTTACATTCTGCTGTTACATCGAAGCAATTGTATTGATTGCCTTGTATTGATTGAAGCTTAAACACGCCCAAAGAAATTGCTGCTGCACATGAAAAACTGCATGAATCTGACCTTGGAGAGACTGTTACGAAGAGACCTGCTGGGAATGCTATCTAGCATTTAATGATTTGAGCATGTAGCTCCCCAAGTGGCATATAGTTTAAAAGAATATTTAAAATTCTTTTAAGCTGCTAGCTGCCACAGTGCATGAAATAAAGAAAAACGCGAACGATAAAATCTGCTAGTCACAAGTCTTTGTACAGCTCTCGAACATGCGTCCATCCATCCATCCATCGAGTTCTGACAGCTTCATCTAATTCAGGACTGCGGGGGAGCCTGTCCCGGCAAGCGACTCGCGCTCCAGGGTAAACCCTGGAGGGGACATCGGTCCATCACAGGGCCCACAGGCTCAAACGTGCAAACACTCAACACCAGGGCCAGAAGCCAGTTAACCTACCAGCATGTCTTTGGACTCTGGGAGGAAACCCATGCGAACACGAGGAGTACATACAAACTCCACACAAGAAGCGCCCCAGGCATTGAATCCAGATCCCAGCACTGCAAGGCAGCAATGCTAACCACAGCGGTGCCACCGTGTCACAAACCTTTCTTTAGAGAAACAGATTTCAAATGTTTTCTTTCTAAAGGTAAGGAGAAAAGAGAAAAGTATTTTTCTTCTGCAAAAGCAGCTGGAATGCATCATATGTAGAATTCAAAGCTGTGCTTGATTAATAGGCATTGCATTATTTTACTTAAATTATAAAGCCTGTTTTCCTTTTTGTTGCCAGAATGGCACTGTACAAAAATGCAGTTTATTGAATGGAGATATGGTTAACAGTAAACCTTGGATATCTAACATCCTTGGAGCAGGGTTAAATTGAACGCATAATTGTACACATGCCACTGGAAGCCTTTCCATGAATAAATTCTTGATAAAGAAAAGAAGGATGAATTAACATCATTTAATTAAAAACTACTCTCTTTTAATGGAAAATGGTAAATTTATTATTACATTTTATTATAAATTTGAGCACAGAGCAATTTCAGATAGCGGAAGACTTTAAACATATTGACTAAATAAGGTCTCATAGAAAATGCATTTTGTTTCCAAAAATGAATCATGCCACATACTGTATACCATATAATGAGTTTCTCTCATTAATCAAGATTTTTTCGTTGCAAAATGGCTGTTCAGAGCTTTTTGAAAATGTGGTTTTGTTCACCAGAAGTCTTCCAAAGCCAAACCACTAATGCTTTCAGTAACATATGCACCAGTCTCTTAAGCCAAGAGGTCGCATGAAAAGTTCATGTAAACGAAATAGATGGTATGTGCCAAAGTACTGCTGTTAAGAGGTTTGGTTTATATAAAAAAAAATCAGACTGCAGATATAGTTCAATTTGAGGACTTTGAGACTGCTCAACTTGATGTATTTTGTGACTAGTGTATAGCTTAAACCAATGGTTCTCAAACTGTTTGGACCAAGTACCACCCCTGATCAAACCAAAGCATCCAAGTACCACCTACAAATCATCTTCTCATAGGAAGCACAGAAAATCATGAGTGACCAACATGAACGCACACACATATATAATAACAATTGCACTGAGCATTTACAATTTCAGTGAGAGGGGTGAGACTGTTTAGTCGAGTGAAGCCTTACAATGTCAGAAACAAGGGCAGTGGGCTTCAAACGCAGATCTGGCCCAGCATCCATCTTGTTGCGGTACTTTGTCTTGATTGCAGTGGGAGTAGAGAAGCCTTTTTCACAAAGGTAGGAAGTAGTAAAAGGCATCAAAAACCGCACAGCCTTTAATGAAAGAGCTGGGTATTCAGAAATCCAACAGTGACTGTTGTTTCAATTCTGACATCAAATTCACATCAGATGATAACTCGAGCAACTTCTCAGATCCTTGGGAATTCCTACGACATCAACAGTAAAGGGGTTCCTGATCCACCCTGGTGTGGCCTCAACTGCAAAGTACTCGGAGAACTGTTCTTCCAATGACAAGAGGTGCACTGCAATCACATCATGAGCAGCAGCATCAAGTGCCACACCATATGCAGATAGTTCTCCAAAGTTGGGAAAGCAGAGACATCACTTGCATTGATTTTATTAACAAAAAAGCTTTTTCTTCATAGCAGTGATTTTGTCAGACACATCAAAAATTGTTACGAGCCCTTGCAGTCCCATATTCAGCTCATTCAAACGTGACTATATCAGCCAGGTAGGCTAGTTTTACCAGTCACACTGGATCGTCAAATAGACTTGACAAGGGAGATTGCTGGTCATGCAAAAACATCTGTACCTCAGAGTGCAGTTCAAAGAGCCTCGTGAGCACTTTCCCCAATTGATAACCATCTCACTTCAGCATGTAGCAAAAGCTGCACATGTTCGTTACCCATTTCATTACAAAGCACACTGAACGGACGTGAATTCATTGGGCGAGCCTTGATAGAATTCACAACTTTGACAGCCGAGTCTAACACACATTTTAAACCCTCAGGCATTTTCTTGGCTGCCAAGGCCTCGCGGTAGCTGCTGCAGTGTGTCCACTTCATATCTGGAGCAACCTCTCTAATTCGTGCAACTACACCGCTGTGTCTGCCTGTCATCGCTCTAGCACCGTCTGTACAAACTCCGATGCGTTTTTTCCAGCCAATGCCACGCTCCTTGATACATTCATTCGGAAGCTGAAATATGTGCTCTCCTGTAGTTCTTGTTGGTAGCAGCTTGCAGAACAGAAAGTCCTCATGCGACATGCCCTCAAACTTATATCTAACGTAAACGAGCAAATTGGCCAAATCAACGACACCTACAGATTCATCTAATTGCGGTGAAAAGCATCTGCTCATCTTAACGCGCTCTGTCTGCAATCGGCAACCTTGCATGGTAAAATGCTTCTTGGGCTTTGGAAACTGGAGTGACACTGTTCCTTATGATGGACTTGCGCTGCTTCAGATCTTTAAGTTTCCTTTGAAAAAAATCAGCAGGCTTCTCCTTCAAGAGCGCATGTTTCGTGGTAAGGTGCCGCCTCAGATGTGCTGGCTTCATGCTTTCATTGCTGAGAATCTCACATGGAAATGTGTTTATGGACAACATACCTGCTAGGTCCAAACTAGTTTTTATTCTAGTTTGGACTAAATGTGCAAATTAATTTGTAATAGAAATGCAGTATTAAAAAAGACAGGTTATTTACATTATCAATTCATTTATAGCTGTTCTTATGGTAATTTCAGTCTAAAAGGGTGAACAAATTAGCAGCCTTAAAATTATTTGGATTGCATTAGCATGGTCTTTTCTTGTTAAACTCAGACAAAAATCAATGTTGGAAAACATCTTCTATGCACGTTTTGTGCAGTCTGTATTAGTAATTATAAATTGAAATCTAAGAAATTCTAATGTCTATTGTTTTATAGGATGAATTGATTAATTTTGGTCTTGAGGGTATTCTTTCAAGTACTGTAAAAAAAGTTTGCCAGTCTGTTTTCTGGTGGTCTTTTAGAGTTTTTTTTAGTTGGGTTTGTACTGAGCTACTGGAATTATGCAGAAATAAAATCTTGTCGGTATAATGCAGTCATTTTGAAGTTATTTCATGCACATACCATAGCTGTTAGGTACCAATTTATTCCTCCCACATTTACCTTATCAGGTTGTATTAGCTTTGAGCTTTGAAAGGAAGAAACTATTAAAAGGTGATTGCTTTTTCAATCCCACAGAAAGTCAACTCTATTCATTGCATGACCCGTTTTATCTCAAGGCTAGTGTATCGTTTCGTAGCACACATAAGTGAAATACCGGGGTAAGAAACATTGCAGCAAAACTTAAAAGACGAGATTTATTTCATGTATTGTGAAACACACATTTTCTATTATTATTTACCATAAAAACGTAAGACCCATTCCATATAAGCGGTTCAGCCCATTTAAGCAGAGGAATCCTACTCCGTTGGGCCCCTGAGCCAGGCCCTTAGCCCCAACTGCTCCAGGGGCGCTGTACAATAGCTGACCCTGCGCTCTGATCCCAAGCTTCTCTCCCTGTCTGTGTGTCTCCTGGAGAGCAAGTTGGGGTATGTGAAAAGATGAATTCCTAATGCAAGAAATTGTATATGGCCAATAAAGTGATCTTATCTAAGTAATTGAAGGATCAGATCTATCTGTTTCCTTCAACATCATGTCTGGGCACTTTGTTCACCGCTGCCATAACCCTTCGTGTAAAAAAAGTGCCTCCTGTTCTTAGTTTTAAATGCACTTCCACATAGTTTGCACCTGTGTCCTCTGATTCCTGTTCCACTGTGGATTCTGAAGAAGACTGAAGATGTCTGGGAAAGTGCACTGGGCTGACTTTGTCAGTGGCTTTGAGGATTTCGACTATTTGTATCTGCTCCCCTCTTGGTCTTCTCTGTTCAAGACTAAAGCGATTAGTCCTATTAGTGTAGGACCTTCCCTTCAGCCCAGGAATGGATCTGGTTGCTCTCCTCTGGACTGATTACAGAGCAAGAGTGTATTCTCTAGGACATGGTGACCAGTATTGGACACAATATTCTAAATGAGGTCTACTAGTGTGTTGTACAATTGTAGCATCACAGCCCTTGTTTAAAATTCTACATTTTAACTATGCAGTAAAAAATGCTAACAGTTTGCCTATTTTCATTCCCCACATTGTATTGAAGGTACAGTGTGGAGGGAATGATTTGTCAGCAATAGATGACCTATGCAAAACCCCGCACTTGTCTACATTAAGCATCATCTGTCAGGTGTTTGTCTTGTCTTTAAATTGATCAAATTCTTTTTGATTTCCGTGTGTTGCTTCTACTGTGTTTACCAGTCCTCCTAATTTGCTATGTTCTGACTTGTTTGCAAACAATGCCAAAGTGTAAACTAGTGATGTGACATGGAGGAGCAATCCTGCTTGTACAGATTCCTGTGGTGCTTCACTAATAATGTCACCATAATTTGAGCGTTCATCCCTTGTCTGTTCTGTTTGTTAACCAATTCGCAATATTACCAGAGCTCTCGGAGCTCTCTGAATTCCTACTGCTTGTCATTTGAGAATTAATATTTTATGAAGAACTTGATCAAAAGCCTTCTGAAAATCCATGATCACCAACTGTATATAAAAGGACAGTATTTATATAAGTAAAGTATGAATCAGGTACTAGGAGATACTCAACATGGAAAAAGTAGGTCTTGCATCATAATTTTTGAGGGTAGAAAATTTAACATTCTTTTTTTTAACCAAAATTATAGCCTTAAGGAATTTCATGAAGGTGTCAGTTTTCAGTAAGATTTTAACCTAATTTGGATAATTCTATTTACAAATGGTTCTTATTGGCCAGACTTAACCTATTCGGCAACTCAAAATACTGTGTATTTACTGCTTCTATTCTAGCAGGAGAATTGGCAGATGTTGGCAAAAATGTTGCACATAGAGGAGCATCAAGTCAAAAACCACTGTTTTGTGGTTACAGAATAAAGACGAGCGGACAATGGACTCACACATTGTACGAAAGCCAAGAACTAAATGACAGCCTTGAGCTTTTGTTGTATT